TCTGTCAAAAATAAACATTAAAGAAAAAATTTTTTTTAACTTATTGTGTTTTGTGATCCACCTTCTCTAATCCTCCCATCAGAGCTATGAACAACCCTATGAACAGAGTTAATTAAATCCTCATGAAAATACCATAGGAAGAGCTTTCACAGTATGCTATCGAGAAAGGGCTCCTAACCTGGTTGCTTCTGAGGCAATAAGTCACTCTTAGTGAGGCTTCCGGGAATTTTCAACAGGAAAGAGGTATGGCCCAATGCAGACCTTACCCCATGGACAATCATGGACATCTCCATCCAGGAGGACAAATACTAACCATTACCACCCAGGTTCTGGAGCTCAGTATCTATCTTGAAACTTCCAACCAACTCATTTATGCCACAGTTCCTCCTCTACACATAAAAGTTTCACAGTTTGGCATCTATGTATTCAATATCAATGCTGACAAAGCTCTTCTGAGGGAGTGGATCTCCTCTTAGGAATTCCCAACTTTACTAAGTGACCAAATCTACTCAAAAGTAAAAGCCAAGGTTGAAACAATAACATTTTGTCTAACAGAAGCAAAAATCTCCCAGTTTAAGTGATACTCACTTAAGTACATACTTACATGTAACAAAATGCTAATATACTAAAAAAATACTCACATCAGCACTTTTACTCCTTGGAAGATTGACTGCTCTCTTTAGCTTCTTTACTGATTCTGTAATGGCAAGAGTCTCTACACCATCTAAAGCACTACAGATTTTTCTTACAGCTTTAATTACTTGATCTACTGCTCGGTGCTGGTTCTTTAAAAATAAAAAGTAAAATAAACATAAGTATGTGGAATTTAAAGGATCAGTTTCAGAGATGAAGTCAGAAACCAGACATTTTAGATGTGCTTAATAAACAGATATCCTTTACTCTTTTGTGATGAAAAATAAACAAAATACCTTTTCACTGACCTATTTTATTTTGAATAAGAAAACTTGGGTCTGATTTTCATTTTGCCTGACACAATTATTCAGATGCAAATGCCATTAATTTCATACTTAGAATAACTAATAAATCATTAACAAATTACTAAGTCATTAAAAAAAACTGGAGTTATTTTTTATTCTTACTTGGGAGTAAGTTCCACATTAAAAACACCAATCCTTCTCTCCCTCCTGCCAAAAAATTTGGTATCAAAAACCAAGTTCTTCAGAGATTGGCTGCATATTAATAACATTAGGCAGCAGTTAGTAGACATGAATCAACTTTTAAGCAGCATTTGTATCTATACAACCATTACTTTTTAAGTTTTATTGGATGAAAAAACTTTCTTGAGGACAATCCCTCTGTAGTATTTAATCATACTTGATTTCACCACAATTCAAAAGTATACATGTACAAATATATTATAAAATCATTTACCTGATAAGAATGATTTAAAAATCTCTCTCCATTCCTCCATCATTTTAAAATAATGTTTCTTATCTCATTAAGAAACACTCTTACATAAAGAATGCATCAAACATGTATGCCAAACTTACATGCCAAGTACTGTTAAAATGGGCTGAAATTTAGTACTGTACCATCCCTTAACAATTTAAATTTTTCCACCTTTGAGGCTTGGCAACCAGAAACTGAATGTTCCCTGTACCTTTATGCTTCAGTGAAACCACCTCATTTGCTCAAACATCCAATTACCCTGCAGTCCTCAGGGCCCAACAATCTGTTTTCTAGCTCCCCATTTTTGCTTACTTATATTTCTGCTTACTTTTACTCCTACACCTTCATGCAAAAACCTTTCCAGTGTTGAGGCTCAGGTCATTCTCCTATACTATTCTCCAT